AAAATCAGCTTTAATTTTTGCAAAGTAAGTTTTTGGTAGCCATGGGCAAAGCTCCCAAAGTTTAATTTTTGATGACTGATGTTTATCTTGTTTAGGTAGCTCTATAGTAGGTATTTCTATAATAGCTTGCTCAATTCTTTTTTCTTCAAGTAACTTGTTAAGTAATTTTTGTTGTAAATCATAACATAATTTTAAAACTTCTATTTTTTGTTGAGCTGATAATGAATCTAATATTACTTCAGAAGGAGCTTCGCTATCTATAATTTTTTGAGATAGATATGAATAGGTAATTGAAGATGAAGTTGTCATTGTAAAAGTTTGAAATTTGCAAAAACAAAAACACGAATAAATTTATATTTATATGGATCTAAATTATTTATTTTCTCACACGATACTAAATTTCTAAATTTGTCAGTTAATTGATAAACTATATTTTAATGTTTGTAATACATAAATAAAACCTTAAATAAAAATTTTGGCATTTTTAATTGTTAAAATTTCAAGTATATTAGTAATATATAATAAATGACTAATAAGCATAAATTAGAAAAAGTAATTTGTAAATGCAAAGCTTGTTTAATAATAAGCGTACAAGGATAAGAACTTAGTAAGAGAATTAAATGTCAACATGATAAAGCAGAAAGATGTTTTTATAACAAAAATAGAAAAATTATCGAATAAACATATTTTAGAACAAAAAGAACTAATAAATCAAAAAAAGATTTTCTTTATAACGAGAAAGATATTATTACCTTACAATATCAAGATTTTATAAAGATCAAGATTTTAATAAAAATCAGAATTTTTATGAAGATCAGGATTTTTACGAAGATCAAGATTTTAATGAAAATCAAGCTTTTTATGAAGATCAAGATATTACTTTACAACATCAAGATTTTTACGAAGATCAAGATATTACTTCACAAGAAGATCATAATACTACTTTGCGATATAAAAACTTAGAAAAAAAAAATCAAACAAATTATTATAAAAATGAGAACATAAGAATTTTATTTATTAAGAGCGCTAGCTATATATCTTATATATCAAATTTAATATTATATAATAACTTATATATTAGCGCTCTAATATATCAATAAATTAATTTAAA